AGGCAAGAACACGCTGCCTATTTTAAGTGTTTTACTTGTAAGTTTTATGTCACATCATAAAATCTTACCTTCACAGACAATAAACATTCTCTGGGTGGCTGTCAATGTTCAGAGGTCTTACCAAACGTTACAGGCGTGCAATCATGCCAGCCATGAGAACAAAGCGACACCACTATAGCAGAAATATTTCATGTCCACTGACTGTATTTACGTATTCATATTGATATTATTATAATATTGATCACGTTCATCTATTAATTGTCTATTAGTAATGCTAGTAATCTATTGGTTAAGGTTTTGTCCTAGGACCTTCATTTGTCTTCCAGAAGCAGCACTTTCGCTAGGGCCTAGGGCAGTGAAACAATCTACGCAAAAATCACAGAGAAATAGAGCAGAGCTTGGTCTAAACCGCCAACCCAACTTTGCCGCAAGGTGGCGCTTCGGATATTTTTGGGCGCAAACCGAAATGGTGCGCGTTGATACGACGGGTGGTATTAACACTATTCAGGTCCTGTCCCTGATGGCGTCCTTTCCCCCTACTGAATTCCGCAAGTGCACTTACTGGCTACTGCAGTCCCGAGGATGAGTTTACCCTGGGCAACGTTCGTTCAAGCCTTCTCTTGACAGTAATTATTGCAGTAATAACCAAAAACGACGAGGTTTCTGTGTTGGAAACTCGGTCAGCATTCAGAGGATTGAAAAAAATGCCGGTGTTTATTCCCCTGACGCATATACCTGCAGCGTGGGCCTTATGCCTGCTTCCTCATATGTGACGGCATGAGGTAGTTGATTAGAGAGATGTTCGGGACACCGATGGCTATTCGCTGTGGACTTTGTAATTTCGGGTGATATTTAATGAAAAATACCCTGTATCTCGATCTAAACCTACAAGTACTTTAGCTTCCTACTGATATAGTACCGGGGAGCAGCCTGTGGTATCTAGTATAGAATGCAACTATGTTCTACCGCATGTAAGCAATGAGAACAATAAAAAATACATTAGCACTCAAACCGATCGTTGCAGAGTTGCGATTAATTTTCGTTTACAAGTTAGGCTTTGGCATTTCTGGACATGACGTTGCCTCTGACTTTACATTGCCAGTGAAAACGATTCGGGTCATAAAGAAACGCTATNTTCTACCGGCGTAGGCGGTAGGGGAATAGGGCATAGTTATACTAAGTTAGGGTTCACTGACACAGGTATGACAGGTATCAGTATCGCTGTCAAATGGTTTCAAAGTGAGTAAAATTACAGAACAACATTTTTGTATGGGGTTTAGCAATAGCTCGCATAAGTCGACACTTTTAGGACCAGCAGATTTGTGTCGACTTACGCGTAAGTCGTCCTTTTGTTGACTTATACAATGTATGTTAAGCGGGTATACTATATGTATACTATATGTATTACTATTAGCTGCCTTGCGATTGCTGCAACGAGTATATATGCATAATGAAAACACGAACGATGTGAATGAAGCAATCACTGCATACAGTCATGTACACAACATATATGCACACAGCAACAAGTCAAATAAAGAGCGAGCTTGTCTGCGTTCACACAGTCACTGTGTACATCGTGCATCACATAACGCCATTCGTTGGCTGTACGTACTGTATTAGCAATCATGAGTATGCTCGCGCATGACTGCTTGTGTGCGTATGCAGGCACCTGTGTGTGTGTGTGTGTGTGTGTGTGTGTGTGTGTGTGTGTGTGTGTGTGTGTGTGTGTGTGTGTGTGCGTGCATGATCTCTTGGTTGCGTCTCTGCTTCTGGGGGGACGGTGTGGAAGGGTGTTGTCCCCCTCCCACACGAGGGAGCTTTTGCAATTTTTACACTAAAAGAGAGCGATCTGGTGCATACCCGGGGTGAAATTCTTGCAAATTTTCAAATTAAAGAAAAGGCGAGTATTTTCAAATGAGAAACTCTCGGGGGGCTGCAGCAGGTGCGAACCCCCAGAACCTTCCCCCCCGACGACGGGCCTGCCCATCACTCCTGTCCTGCTCCCAGCATCCAACTCTCGCGTCCCGGTCTTGCATGATCCCGCTGCATTAGTCCCACTCCCATGTAGTGGGATAGAAGGGGCTACCCGGGTACAGGGCTGCCAACTCTCACGCATTCGGCATGAGACTCACGCAATTGAGGCTAATCTCACGCTCTCACTCCGGGTCTGCTAATTCTCACGCATACAGAAACACCAGACAGCCATTTCCATTACTGGGCAAGGTTCGCGAACGCGAGAATTTCGTCAGTCTGTGTGATTTCGCATGACACAGCTC